TGTCTCCATCTTGTTGGGATCTGGGGCAGGCACACGCGCGTGCCCGGCTGGCTTCTGAAGCCAGCAGGGCCAGGATGCACACTGTGGTCGGTTACGTGGAATGCAGCCCCCTTAACCACGAGGCTACCGGATCAGCCCCACTGTATTTGAGGAACAATTTTAAACTGGGAGGTCCATTTGAAAATAAGTCATTGTGTTATGAGGTCTTTGAGTAGAAAGCTTGGGCCGATTATTTTCCCCTTCAGTAGATTATAAATGAAATTAAGTGACGTTCATTAATATATGGTCACACTGACAAAATTTTGTTTGTTTTTGTCAAAGGGTGTATGCACTTGTCAGAGAAAGAGAGGGCAAGTGAGCAATCAAACCCCAGGGGAATAGCCACGCCACAATCCACTCTCCTCTTGGGATTTTGGGCATTCATGCACGTGCACCCAGCATGATTTTCAAGTTGCCGGGTCAGGGACTCAAACTTCGGTCTGCCACGTGGGATTCGGGTGACTTAACCACCACACCACCTGCTGGTCCCCAAAACTTTTTTTTTTAGACAAAGAAGAACACCATGGAGGTATGCAAAACCGGGTCTCTTTCTATTCCAGGATAAATGATCTCACCCAGCCAAATTCCTATGTGGAAGCCCTTAAATCTCAATGTTCCCGAGTTTGGATATGGGGCCTTTAGGAACTGGTTAAGGCTGAATGAGGTCATGAGGGTGGGGCCCTAATCTGATAGGACCAGTGTGCTTATAAAAGAGGGCGAGCTGCCAGGCTCTGTCCGCCCTCCGTGCAGTCACAGAACACAGGCCAAGTGAGGACACAGGGGGAAGGCGGCCGGCTGCAGGCCAGGAGGAAGGGCTCCCCAGAACAGGAATCTTCTGGCACCGTGATCTGGGATTTCTACCTTCCAGAAATTGTGAGAAAACACACTGCAAATGCTGAAGCCACACGGCCTGCGGAATTCCGTGCTGGCCCGGCAGTTTCACACAATAGCTTTCTTGTCTTCCCAATGTGCAGTGACAGCAGATCTGGGTGCCGTGGTAGGGAAGCCGAAAGGGGATAAAACACACAGACGCTGACAGTGGCTACACGACCACAAAAAAAAGACAGGGAGCACTGCCTTGTACACGCGGAACATCTGGCCACACCAGCAGTCAGCCAGCCTTGACACAACTACCGTGGGAGCCTGGTCACTCTGCAGAGACAGCTGACCCTGATCACGTGCGTTGGGAGCAACCTCCATGGCCTCCTCACTAGATGCCAGCCAGCGTCTCTCTCTCTTTCTCTGTCACACACACACACACACACACACACACACACACACACAAGTGCACATGTCCAGGCTCTGACAGTCAAAAATGTCTCCAGATACTGGGCCAGCACTGTGGGGCCTGGTGGCTTAGGGACCTGGACTCCACATGGTGGGTCAAATTCAACCACACTGGGGGCTAGCAGGTGGCACAGAAGTTAAGGCAGCTAGGGAACCAGCAGTTAGCGTAATGGCTATGTCGCTGGACTCCCACGTAGTCGACCGCGGGTCGCGTCTCGGACCCGGTGGCTTAAATCTCACACCGGGCGCGTGTGCGTGCGTGCCCAAGATCCCGAGAGGAGAATGGAGGAGAAGGGATTGCCACGTGACCATCCCCCCTGGGGGGTGATTTCTTGCTTTCTGTCTCTATGTCTCTGCCTGTCTGGCGAGCGCAGGTGCCCTATAGCGAAAACCTCTCCAAAAAAAAAAAAAGTTAAGGCAGCTGGATCTCACGAGGCTGAATGGTTCGAGTATTGATTGGACCCAGTGGCCTGAGAATCATACCAGGCATGTCCAAAATCCCAGGAGAATGGAGAAGGGACTGCGGTGTGGGCATCCCCTCTGGGGGGTGATTTCTCATTTTTCCTCTCTTGATCACTCTTTCTCTGACACATACCCTACAGCAAAGTTAAAAAGAGAAAAGAAGGGACCACCAGATGGTGTAATGGTTATATTGCTGGACTCCCATGGAGTTATCCATAGTTCAAGTCCAGGACCTGGTGGCTTAAAACTCATGCTGGGGGACCAGCAGTTAGCATAATGGCTAAGTCGCTGGGCTCCCATGTAGTCGACCGTGGTTCAAGTCCCGGACCTGGGGGTTTAAAAATCATTCATGCCGGGCGCATGTGCATGTGTGCCCAAGATCCCAAAAGGAGAATGCAGGAGACGGGATTATGGCGTGGCCATCTCCCTGGGGGGTGATTTCTCCCTTTCGGTCTACCTCTCTCCAGCAAATGCACATACCCTATAGCAAAAATGTCTCTTACAAATAAATAAATAAATAAATAGAAGGGGGGATAAAAAAAAAGAAAAGGAAGGGCAAGAGAAAAACATGCTAGGTGCCGTGTTTATGCATGCTCAAAATCCCAACAGGACGGAAAGATGGAGAAGAAGGGATTATGGAGTGACCACACCTCATTGGAGGTGCTTTCTCCACTCTCCCTCTCCCTGTCTCTTTCAGGCAAGCGCAAGCACCCTCTGACCAAAAATAAAAACTAAAAAAAGTAAAAATAAATAGTTTCTAGATACTGGCAAATGTCTCCCAGGGAGAACCTCTCTCCTAATCTGAGAGAGAGACCTTTGGCAACCCCCCCCATGTTTATAAAGAAAACACTAAGAAAAACAATAGTCTCTGTTTGGGAGAGAAGGCAAGGCAAGTGGAAGGCGGCACGAACAAGAGAATTCTTTCACGATCTCCAGGCCCCTGCGAGGCCCCTGCGTGACCCGAAATCCAGAGCCAATTTGGAGGATGTATCCCTGCCCAGATACTGGAACTGACTGCAACGCCACCGGCAGAAATTCAGCAACAATTCGGTGTGTTAGACGGGAAGCGGATACGCTGCTATCAGCACCCCAGTCCTGGTCCCTGAGGCTTCTCAGGAAAAGAAGGGCCGCCCCGGCTTTCCTGGAGAAGATGGGCTTCCAGATAACACGGAGACAGCTTTTCCAGAGAACGCAGGTGGCCAGCTAACTCGCAGCGAGCTGGGGAGGAGAAAGGGTACCGCCTTCTGGGGGAGGAAGAGTGCTGCCCCAGATTACGGTGACGGCGGCCATGAGCCTATGCACGCGGCCGTAGTCCCTACACAGAGGCGGTCAACGGGCCAGAAGGCGTGAGAGCCAGAGGGGGCCTGCCACTGCGCCACGCGTAATACCAGACTTTCCCCTTCTAACGCGGTGCTGCCACGTCGTCGTCCTCCCGCCTCTGTCTTAGCTGGGACTCGAGGCGTACTCTGCCACATCTGGCTCTTTCACAGACACGGCCTGGTCTATGTTACCCAGGCCCGTCTCGAGCTCAGCCTCTTGAGCTCCTGGGACGCCAGGTGCACGCCACCACACCCACCTTTAGGTTGGGCCGGGAATGGAACCTGAGCCTCCCAATGAACGTAGCAGGAGAAGGAGCAGACAGTCCCCTCTGGGCACCCTGCAGGCAGGGTCCCGTTCAAAGGACTTGCCCTGCCCTCCTGTCCTTTATACTGCTACCCCCGTCACTGCCCTCCTTCCCACTAAGGTGCTTGACTGACTCTTCCTCAAAGTGAAAACCAGTGCACGGGTCAGCTGCCGCCATGTTGGTTAAGCTGAGTGGATCACACATGGCTGACGCTGCAGCTGCCAATCCTGGAACGAGTGGATTGAAAACACGCCGGGCACGTGCGTATGCATGCCTCGAGTCCTGAGAGAATGGCACAGAGGGGACTGCAGGGTGGCCAACCCCTGGGAGGTGATTTCCCGCGCTCTCTCTCTCTCTCCGTATCTCCCTAGCAAGTGTACTTGTCCAGTGGCAAAATATTCTAAAACGAAAAACCAAGACACCCTTCATCGTGGCTCCTCGTTGTCCTGGAGTCCCTGCCACAGTGTACTTCTGTGGGAAACGTCAGACCCTACGGCCATCCTCACGCAACCCGAGGCTCCCGTCGTGCAGTCTGCCTTCCTCACTTTCCCGCTCACCGTGGGGAGCGCCCATGCCATCCAGACACTCCCCTTCACACCGTGGCTTACACCGGTGACCCCTCCTGCCTGCCCCTCAGGAAGCGTCTCCCAGAAAACCCCACACACATCTCACACGTCTGTCTATGCCCCGGGACACTCCGAGAGCGTGAGAGTCAAAAGACGATTGTCCAGAGTGGGTGCAGTCGGCCGCACTGCAGACGGGGACGCCACCTCCGAGACCTGACTGTCCGTGCCCCTGGGTTCCCTCTGCTCTGAGAGCAGACCACGCGGCCTGAGGGCCTCGGGCTGAAGGCATCTCCCTCCAGCCCCAGAACCCACTTCGGAGGCCATGCGGCCACAGTGTAGACCGGAAACGAGGTCTTACAGAAAACGCTGGCCGGTCCACCGGTACTTTCATGGCTGCCTGTCATTTCCAAACACATTGCAAAGGAACATACGAGGAGTCTGCAAAAAGTTCCGAAAACGCATCTTAGATAAAAAAATTAAAAATAAAATAAAAAAATAAAATGCACAGACTCTAAAATGTTTTTCCACCAGAATAAACTCCTGTTTTAAGTCCATTTTTAACACAACCTGTTTGAAGTCCGCAAGACAAACAAAGCCTTCTCAGAGAGAAGAGCCAAGTGCTTTTAGTTTGTGTGTTTGTTTATTCTTTATAAATCATCCTTCCGAGGAAAAGCGCCAACTTCAAATGTATACGGGGAAAAGACCAGGCAGGATGCGTCACTCCAAAGCACACACATTTTCACCAAGTAGACGATTTTTCCTTCCAGAAGTGAGTATCTGACACCCAGAAGCGACCTAAAAGTGGAGTTCATGGTGAAATGCTGATAGCCTCAGCATTTTCTGTTCTTTTTAGCAAAATCACCTACTAAAAGGAATCTTGAGAAATTAAAAGGGGAACTCTTCCGAAATGACTGTTTCCTGCAGTACGCCTGTATCTATTTTTAAAGCACAGAATATATGGAAAGTTCAGCA